TATTCATCGAATTTCTTAATAATCATTTTAACATGAATTTTCACACTCTTAGAAATTCCAAATCTGTGAAATTCTAATTATATGCTATTCGATATTCCAAGCATATGAAAATTTATATGGTAACTTGTTGAATATCACCACATTTCAACTACTACAAAGTGTTAAAAATCGGGCTTTGCGGAGGTTGATGGTCGCCTATGTTCTGAAGGATAAGGCACGGGAAAGAAAGAAAGAAGAATATAGAAACTTCTCCATTTAATATACATTTTTAAACTATTATTCACTTTTAAACAAACAAGATTAAGTTTACGTTTTGTACATTCACTTTTGTCCTAATAAGTATCAAATATGGGTCTCATGACGATTATCAAAAAATTGAAGCAGAAAGAACGCGAAATACGTTTGTTGATGTTGTAAGTTCTTTTTTTTCTCTAATTTTGGTCTATTACATTGATGATTGATTTTTATTTTAAAATTAAAAAGTATTAAATTAAACTCAAGTTAATATTATTATAAAATATAAACATAAATATAAATAAAATAAAAAAAACATAAATATTCATTTGAAATATGATATTTATTTAAAATTTAATAATTTAATTTGTGTTGCATTTCAAAATTGACCTGACTCTTTTAATATCTAATTAATGATTAACTAACTAACTAAAAACTAACTAAATAATTGCTAATCTGTTCTAGATTTTAGTTTTCTATTTTATTTTATTTAAATTAAAAAAGAACTAAGACACACTTTCCTCATTTTACTTTTTTACTAGATTATAATTATAGAATTATAATGTAATTATAATGATAATCATACATATTTTATATTTGTATGTTTAAGACTTTAACTATGAGCACAAATGAGTTTTTTATGGTTTTTTGTTTACTATTTAGTTACTTTACATTTCTTATTCTGTTATTACTTAATTTAATGGCTTTCTCAATGTAATTGACATTGGGATTATTATATTATTGCTTTCATTAACACAGAGGTTTAGATAATGCAGGCAAGACAACCATTGTTAAGAAGTTTAATGGAGATGACATTAGTACAATATCACCAACTTTGGGCTTCAGCATTAAAACGATTGAACACAGAGGGTATGATGATGATGATTGTGATTCAATTATATTAAATTAAATTTTATTTTTTTATCTTCATCTGTTTTGTATTTTATTGTACTGCTGTGTTTTAATTCACAGTTATAAAAATGTTATAAAATTTTATATCATGAGTAGAATTAAGTGTTAATAGTTTAATTTAATTAATAAAATTTGAGCAAAGACCTTGTGACTTCCAATTAATAGATTCAAAATAAACTTTTGGGATGTTGGTGGACAAACCTCACTGAGAACGTACTGGAGAAACTATTTTGAAAGTACAGATGGACTGATTTGGGTTGTGGACAGTGCTGATAAACGTCGATTACAGGACTGTAAGAAAGAACTGGACCAGCTGCTGGTTGAAGAAGTATGTATATATTTTTAATTGAAGTTTGAAATTGTTGAGTTTTTGTGCTTATTGATAACTATAAAATACTCAACAGACATTTCAGTTATTTCATCATTTAATTTTCTCTATAATTCAATAATTACTCACTTTATTATTTGACTCTGCATTTTTTTTATCTTAAAAATAGAGTTTTTTGACCATGAACTTTTGTTGAAATACAGAGGCTGGCAGGAGCAACGTTGTTGGTGTTTGCCAACAAGCAAGATTTAGATGGTGCAGTCTCCTCTGAAACTATAATGGAGGTTCTTAATTCTTAAATAAATATCTTTATAATTTTTTTAAATTTGCTTTGTATGGTAATTTTTCTGCTTTTTGAAAATTTAGACGTCAAAGAATTTTTCAATCGTTTTAATTACGTATTTTTAAAAGATTCTGGACTTGGAAAATTTGAAGACCCACCACTGGATGATACTTGGATGCAGTGCTGTCACTGGAGACAATCTTCTGAAGGGTGTTGACTGGCTCATTGACGACATCTCATCTCGCATATTCACATTAGATTGAGTTCACCATTTTCTCATTTTTTAACTTTTCCATTTTTTATTTCATATATTGTTTTTTGACTTATTATGTGTTTGTAAATGTGCATAACCTTATAGGAAATACACTCTTCGAAACATTATCTCACGGTTTTCGGATATGTGTTGATTTTTATATAGTTTACTCATGTTTTCACTAATTTGGGTCAGCTAAGTTTAATGGTAAATATTTGGTTTCAGAAGTTCAAACTGATATTGAATTATTTAATTATCCTGTATGTGTTGGATTAAGCATATTAAAGTAACGTAGTTTAGCACATTATTAAATATTTCCTGAAAAGTCGAAGACGGATTTTATGCTTGGATTTTTAACTTGATTGTGCAGTGCAACTCAATAAAGTTGCCCTTCATAACTCTGTACTCTGTACGATTTTCGAGATTAGCAGTTGTACGTGACCGCAGGCACAAGATCTATCATTATTTTGTCAAGGCTATTACGTTCTCACTGCGTACTCTTTCCTGGATCAAAACATTTTTGGAAAAAACTACTTAATTAGCGATACAACTTTCAAAATGTTTAAGATCATTGGTAAAATTGAAAGACTTCTACCAAGCTGACCAACGACGTTTATTTGCAAAGTTTTAATGAATTTAATTTTAATGAATTTTAATGAATTTAATTTTAATGAATTTAATTGTACTGTCCGCCATTTAAATACTTAGGAGCTAAAACTTTTTCAAAACAGCAACAAATTATTCTGTCACATATTTTCAAGTACTTATTCCTCAAGTACTTAAAATGACAAAAACAGACACGATTTGATTAAGTCTAAAATGTTATCTGCTTATCTGCTAGATCCTATGAACATTTGTAAATCAATTTGTTGGAACCATCAAGTAAATGAATGCACTGGAAAGGGTGCAATAATGGAGCCTCTAATCACGCCATTATATTAAGAATATCTTTATTAACCCAAAATAATTTCAAACGAATTAATAATCAAGTCGATGCTGTGATTTGATGTGGGCTACCACTATCCATCATTCAGCGGAAAATAGTTGATGGGTTTTGAAGTTCATAAGAGAACTGAAATGGTGTTTACTTTCAGGAATTGCTAATATAACTTATTTACCTTTGCTAACCCGGTTGTCTGAAAAAATGTTAGGACACAAATCTTTTTCACTAGATAGAATGGATTTCAAAACTTTGAACTATTGAGTAAAAAACGTTTTAATAGAGTTGAAAAAAAATAATCGTCAAAAATTTAATATATATCCTTTGCAAGGTACATAATGTTTTCACTCATTTTATATGAATAAATCAATAAATGGAAAAATAATAAGAAAAAAAAACAAAGTGCGACCGAAATTTTCAATCTAAGTTGCTTGCTAAACCTTTCGTGCTAGTAGTCAATCAGCAATTTATGCGATGTGCTAACAACAAGAGCAAATATTGATTTGGGGTATGTGTGAAAAATAAACACTTAAAATTATAATATCAATTAAGCATAAAAAATTTAATATCAAGAGAAAAGACAACGTGATGACTTAAGACATTTTGGAATAAATTTTATTAACATTCTCTTCTCATCATATTGTTATATCATTATTAAATTATTCCTAATTCGGTAAACGATACAATCGATAATAATATAACTAGTGTTGAATCATAAATTGATAATAAATATTATTAATAATAAACAAAGACGGTTAAAAACAATAAGTCCATCAAGTTCTACAATGAAACATGGGCGACTATAGCAAATAATATACATATAAAAATGTCTGAAAAATAGTATACGCTAAAAAAGTATGCATACATAGGTACACACATGTGTATGCGTGTGTGCTTGAGTGCAAGTGTGTTTTGTGCGTTAAGTACGATAGTTTTTAATAAATTTTAATTATTAAGAAACTCAATTGCATGCCACATTAAATCTGTGCTTGCAAGAATGTGTTTAGTCAATGTCCAGACGGTCAAAACCGTTGCTGTGTGAACATGCATTGTAAACATATAAAAGCAACTACATACAACTGACGTTACAGAAAATTATCTACATGCCATATGCAAAATTTAATATTTTAAACATTTTAAATAGTTGTTGATGGATTGAATTTTCTGGTTTGAATTTATTAAACGGAAAGTCTCGTTACCCGTGTAAACTGTTTCTTTTAAAAAAATCCCAATTCGTGCCAAAAAAATCTTGAAAAATCTGATGTTACGAGTACGACATCCCTAAGCCAAAGAGTTCTGATTGAATTAGTTAGTGGCCGAGCAAACAAAAACAGAAAAAACTTAAAAATTATTTAATTTCATTTATAAAATGATTCAAACAAAAATTCTTGAGTACAATCCAATTATGGAAAATAATGGTGACAGAAGATTTCAGTCAAACATTTTTTCAGAAACATTTGGAGCCTGCGATACACAGTGTAAATTATTTTTTCATAATGGTTAATTATTTTAAAGCCATCTTATCGCATTGTAATGCAAACGTATAATTTCTAAATTTAAAAAAATTCATCTACAAGACAAACTCGATAAAGTTGGCGTACATTCACAGGTTTGTGTGTGTACTAAATTATATATATATATATATATATATATATATATATATATATGATATACATGTTTCATTTATTAACAAAAACTTGTATTGGTCAAAACATGGCCCCTCCTCACAGTACAGACCAACGATTGACACAAAAAGCAATTGGTGAAAGTACGCACCCAAGCAACCAAACCACATTCAGTTCTACCTCTGTGCAAATAACTAGACCTATAAGTTTATAAACTAATTAGATACTCTTTAGATACTTACTTCACTTTCTGATATCTAGATCTCAGCTAGAAGTCCAACTCAATTCTAATTAGTACGACGGCTTGAACGGTATAAACACACAGTAGTGAAAACGCCGTTTTCCCACGCTGATTTTCAAACTAATAAAATATAAACATAGTGAGTAGTTTATCTATTCATTACAAAATCTTTTTAACTATATGTATGTGCATGCCTAATAAGAGTGAAACGTGGGCATTTTCAGCAGATGGATAACCAGAAAACTTTCAAAGGACAAAAACACTAATTCAAAAAAACACTTTAATAACGGAAGTAAGACTTGAATGATGAAAATTAAATCGGTTTGAACATTTGCCTCAAGACATGGAACAGGAAAAAATTAAACAATTAGGAAAAAGAGGTGCTCAAAAACTGGTATATTTGACAGAAAAATGTAGACTATTAAACACCAGGAGAGATTGAAAAAATGGGGCTGAAGTGGATGGGCGGTTTAAGGATGACAGTAGAAATGTAGAATGAATGTATGCATGAATAATTAAGGTGATAGAAAATAGATCAATTGCCAGCATGACGATAAGGTTTAAAATGGTATAGCAATAGACTCGTAATTGCTACTTAGATATTTAGATATTATTTTCATTTGGATAGCTGACGATTAAATTATATATATATATATATATATATATATATATATATATATATATATATACATATTTCAAAAATTCAACACTACTTTCAACATTGTTCAACTTTTTTATATTTCTTTTTAATTTATTGATGTCAGAGAAATTAGACATTTTATTGTTTTTTAAAAATTTTTATGAAATAAATTTGCAAAAAGCTATTC